CTAACCTTTACCATCAGAAGTCCCTCCCATTCTCCCCCCTCCCCCACCCCAGAAATACTCTGTTCAGCAAGGTTTTGCCATCTAAGAACCAGAAAATTACCAAATTATATTCTAAAAATCAAACATCTATTACAACACTCATTAATTTGATTCCAAAAAATATTTTTGTCCTGATTTACTTGCATTTGTGTAGTGTACATAGAGAGGATTGCACAATAGCTTAAAATGAAGATTTACTCTTGTATATTGTGGGCAAGTGGGGGGCATAGGGAAGGGTGTGCATGTGGGGTGGAGGAGCATGTGGGTGTGTGGATATGGGGTTTGTGAAGGGCTGCGAGTGTGTGGGAAGAGGGTGGCTGGGGAGGGTTGTGGCATGTGTGATGGGGAAAGATTTGCCCAGTCTGCCCATACCAGGCACAGCCTCCATGCAGCTCTCCCCAAGCCCAGGCTCAGCGCTCCTGCCCCCGGGGGCACCGGTGTGGCCCCATTCTGCCACTCCCCTAACACTGTTTTAAAATACTTTAGCTGCGTAACACAGAATAGGAGGGCAAGATGGACAATGCATTGTTACTTGCTGAACAAACGGGTTCTGCAGTACAGGTCTAACAGAGAAAAGAAAACCACCTAAGACAACTGCTAGCATTAGCAGCTGCTAGTGTATATTTTTCGTTTCTTTTTTTTGTTTTGGGGCTTGTTTTTTTTAAGAAAGTAATTTAAAGCATCATGTATTCCAATATAGCACACTTGAGTATCACTTCAGTAATATAAACAATTTTAAGCATCAAAGCCTATTCCATAGAAAAAAAAGTTAAAGGAAAACATCTATTCCCAGTCTGGTCAGGTGGCTAGGATAAAAAGCTACTCCAACTTTGGACTTCTTGTTTAGCAAGTTAAATGCATTTTCATATGCTCCTTGAAGCGTGAGGCCCAAAACTGGACACGATACTCCAGAGAAGGCCTCACTAGTGCTGAAGGGAGTGGAAGACTCACTTCCCTTGTTTTGAGACTGATACTACTGTTAATATAACTCAGGATGCTGTTGGCTTATACTCAGCTTATGATCTACCATAACAAGGTCCTTCTCTGCAGTACTGGAGTACCTAGTACCGCAGTCTGAATTTGTACACGTGGTTATTCTGTCCCAGCTGCAGGACTTTGCACTTGCCTTCGTTGAATCTCATCACATAGACTGGAGAAATGGTTTGTGATCAATCTGGGTCATTTTGGGTCCTAGCCCTGCTCTCCAGAGTGTTTGCAGCTCCAGCCAACTCAGTGTCATCATCTGCAAATATGCTAGATGCACTAAACCCCATCATCCAAATCATTAATGAAGATGTTAAACAGGACAGATCCCTAGGGGACCCAGACGTTGAGCCACTGGTGACTACTTGTTGAGCACAAAGTTCCAATTAGTTATAGAACCACCTTACAGTACTTTTGTTAAGTCTGTATTGCCTTAGCTTGTTAATGAGAAGGTCATGGGAGATTGTGTCAAAAGCCGTGCTAAAGTCAAGGTATAACGTGATTTACGCTACCTTAAGCTGCACGTTATGAAATAAAGCAACAGGTAACAGTCACCTGTTGTCAATTCACAAACATGACGGTCTTTGGGTAGAGCACTGCTCAGCATTCGGGTGGTGCAGGCCGGGGGAATGGCACAGGGGCTGATCCACAGGCCAGGACAGAGCCCTGAGGGCTCTCCTTCAGACCTGCACTGCTAGATCAGGGCTCTGCTGAGACTGTACGCCTCGTGCTTTAGACGGACCCCGGTGCACCCTGGAGGAAGCTGGGGCCACCTGCACATTTCCATTTAACGCACTACCTGGAGCTGCAGAAGGGGATGGAAATTTGGCAGCTGGGGAGCAGCAACTGCTACCGCCATGCTATCTGGTTTCTGGACCTAGAGGAGCCCCAGATGGCAGTGCTCTGCAGGCTGGCACTGGAGCAGGTGGGGGTGAAGCACCCTGTCCAACCACCCCACCTCCAAGCAACTACTCAGATGCCTCCCAGGGTGACAGGCAGCAGTTGGGGGGGAACAACACTGGGGCAAATACACCTCCTTGACAGGACTACAACAAAGCCACATATCATGCAGGGCAAAAGTCTGTGCTCAGATGAGCGTAGGACACTGGGATGTAAAAGACGATGTGAGATTTTCCTTTCAAATAGGACTCTGAGGTACCCAGGGGAATAAACCTGCACCCTCTACCTCCCCTGTGCAAAGTGGAGTCTCTCTTCTACCCAGAACCTTCCCAATCTCTGAATTGCCCTCAGCATGACGAAAGCACTGGTACCCCAAAACTGGCAAAGAAAGACTTTTTTTTTTGTGCCACTATTTCGCTGGTCTAATAAAAGTTCTCGCCTCCAAGCCAGGGGTTTTGTTCAGACCATGTTGTCAGAGAAGTGCTCGCAGACCCCCGTGACGAGCCCGCCGCTGCGGCAACGCCGTTACCTGGTGCCGCAGCCCGGGCGGACCCTGGCCACGGTGGAAGCGGCGACAGGCAGGCCTGGGTTGGAGCACAGCGTCACGTTGTCCGAGGCCCCGGGCGAGGGGGGCGGGGTGCCGGGGAACGTCTCGTCGCCGAAGCCGTCCATGGCGCCGCGGCTGGAAACCCAAAGCGAGCAATGAGCCCCAGGCTCGCGACGCCCCCACTATGAGGAGCGGCCGCGGGCAGGGCAGGGCAGGACACGGGGAGCCCCCGCGGCCTGGCCCCACCCCCCGCTGTGCGGAACCGGGGCGGGGGGCAACGCCCGCCTCGCCAAGGGCGCGGGAAGGCTCCACAACCACACTCACACGCCCCGCGCCGGGCTTGTGCTCACACCTCCCGACACACTGCCAGCGCCTGCACCAGCCGCAAGGCCCGCCCAACGTTCGGCTCTACTCGCCCCGCCCCCTTCCTCGGCTCTCCGCCAATCGCCCACGGCCATAAGGCGGGGAGGCGGG